TTTCCTTGTATGCGGCTAGATATTATCCTATCCCAGACAGCACTGTATTTCAAGATAGATCTTGAAATATCCTTTTTGATAATGGATGTGATGCTATTCCCAAGGAACCTTGAACCTGTCATTCCTGGCATGGTGAGCCATATGGATGACTGATACAAAATAGCCAATACCAGTGCATTTCAGCTCACTAATGCTTAAGATGCTATGGAGCCCCGGTGGCATAAAGGTTAAGTGTTTGGCTGGGATCTGCATGGTCGGCAGTTCAAAACCACCAGTAGCTCTGCAGAACAAGTTGGCTTTCTACTCCTATAAACAGTTACAGTATAGGAAACTCATAGGGGATCACCATGAGTAAGCTGACTTGATGGCAGTTTTTAAATACTTAAGATAGTGATCTTTATGGGTTCCATCTCATTTTTTATGACTTCCAAGTTTCCTCTAGATTCACATTTTGTACATTCTGAGTTCCAGCTATTCATAGGTGTTTGTGGATGTTTATTCTCATTCTGAGTCACGTCTCATCAGTAAATGAAGGTCCTGAAGGCTTGAACTCTAGCCAAGTCACTATGGTTGACTCTACTTTGAGAAAGCAGCTCTTCCTCAATCATATTTTGAATATCTTCTGACCAGAGTGGCTCAGTTTCTGGCACGATATCTGACAATGTCATACTGTTATTAATACAATTTTCATCGGTTAATTTCTCAGAAGTGGACAGCTTGTTCCTTCTTCATAGGCTGTCCTTAGACTGGAAAGCTCTGCTGAAACCTGACCACTTGGGTGACCCAATAAGGACTTGAATGACAAGTGAAAAAACTTCCAGCATCACAGCAATACATAAGCGACCACAGTCAGACTAGATGACAGACAAGTGGTGGTGACTTATAACTAGCATAGTAATTTTTTTACTAAGAGCGTCCAATGAGACTACAGGGAAAGTACAGTGCTACATACATAGATTAATGAGCTACTTGCATGGGAATGCTCGCTTCTTAAGTAGCATGTACCAGCTCAAAGAGTACACCCATTAAAATTCCAAACACCAATCAGATAAAGGAGCTGCAAGGAAAAGCAAGCATGTACCTGGAGCACTTTTGAATTACTAAAGGTTCAGCTTGGCAGCAATCGGACCCATACTCTATGCTATTGCAAAAACTAAGCCTGGAAAGTCCATCTGGATATCTGAACTCAAGTACGGCTGCATTTCAAATATTGAAACTTTTTTCATTTCTCCATAATCCAAAATGCTCCTGTAGCACTGCTTCCAATAAATCCTCTTAAGGCTTAAGTATTAATCAAACCATTTTGGAATTCTGTAGCGATGGAATTTTCCACACAAAATAGCGATCTGCATGACCACCATGTCCCTAGCAATCAGGAAACTAATCAGTAAGTTGCCCCAAGGCGACCCAGGATTCGAGCCAAAGCCAAGAATACACTTGAAATCCTTGGCCCTTAACCAAGGGTTCAGAACTTCCCAGTGAAAGCAAAGTGAAAGTGAACCAAGAAGTCCAGAAATTATTTATAACAGCTCGCAGTGATCAATACCACTAAGTAGAAGGGGGAAAGTCTGTGTGTGTGACAGTGTTCTCATAGAGCTGTCAATCCTAATACAATATACTTTAATCCCTCCTGAATATTTCCAAAATGCTTTTTAGAAGCAAGGTGGCGAGGCTTCTTCTCACACACTTTGCACATGTTATCGGACTGTGTGTGTGAGGAAGCATAAAAGAACTAGAGGAAAATTGTATGTTTCATCATTGCTACACTGCACCCTGATTGGCTCGTCTCCTCCCCACAGCCCTTCTGCAAGGGGATGTCCAATTTCCCACAGATGGGCCCTGGGTCCCCACTCCGCACTCCCCCTCATTCACAATGCTATAATTTTTTTTTTGGTCTTTGATGCTTGATACCTGATCCCTTCGATGCCTTGTGATACCACAGGCTGGTGTGCTTCTTCCATGTGGGCTTTGTTGTTTTTCAGTTAGATGGCCACTTGTTTATCTTCCAGCTTATAAGACCCCAGACTCTATATCATTTGATAGCCGGGCACCATCAGCTTTCTTCACATTGGCTTATGCACCCGCTTTGTCCTCAGAGATTGAGACGGGACAGGCTGGTGTGCTTCTTCCATGTGGGTTTTGTTGTTTCTCAGCTAGATGGCTGTATATCTTCAGGCCTTTGAGACCTCAGATGCTATATTTTTTGATAGCCGGGCACCATCAGCATCATGTGTTTTCAAGGTTCTCCTTCTTGCTTGGTATCCTTAAGCACTTCCAGCCTTTTGTTGTTCCTTTTTTCCAATCTAACATTACAATGCTTTTCAATGAAACTTTCCCAAAGAATCAAATAGTTGATTTGTGGGTAAAAGTGGAAAAGGAATTCTGAAGCAGTTCCCTTTAAAACATCTTTTACTCTTAAGACTTCACCATCTGAAGCCACTTGGCCCTTGAGTTAGGATAGTGACCTGATTCACTTGGGTTCTTGTATTCCACAAGTGTTACTTAGAGTGTTGCAGTGAGCATACAGGGAAAGTACAAGTGCTGCACACAGAGAATATACACATATATTTTTATCATTCTATTGGGAGCTCTTACAGATATCCTAACATTCCATAGTTCAATCACATCAAGCAGTCATGTACAATTGCTACCAAGTCTGTTTCAAAACATTTTCTTTCTTCTTGAATTCCTTGATACCAGCTCCCCTGTATGCCCTCCCTCCCCCGCCCTCTCATCCAGGAACCCTTATTTTTATCTATGTATTTATTGCCGTATCCAACACCATCCAATATATCCATTTATGTACAATTCTGCTGTTCCTTCCCCTCAAGTGGAGTTATACAGTCATAAGTGCGCATACAAAGAATATTAACGAGGTTTTCCATCAACTACTTGCAGGGGAATGCTTTCTTCCTAAGTAGCATGGATTAGTTCAAAGAACACATCTATTAAAATTCAAAGAACCTATAAGATAAAGAAACAGGAAGGAAAAAGCAAACATATATCTGGAGTGCTTTGTGAAGTACTAAGGGTTCAAGTTGGCAGCAATCTGACTCATACTTTACGCTATTGCGTAACGGTCACAACTAAGCTGAGAATGTCATTCTTGCTATCTGAATGGTAAGTGGATAGTAAAAGTTGGTTAGCAAGGAATCCATTCTTGCAAACAGCTCACCTCAAAAAAGAGATGCCCAAATATATTTGATTCCCAAGTACAGATACTGACAGTTGAGGTTGCAAGGGGCATATCTACTGTGAAAAAAATGATTTAAATGCTTGTCTTTAAATTAAATACAGAATGTGTGTGTGTGCATATAGATGAGAGTAAACTACTCTAAATCTTCAGAGAAGGATCGTCTTTCATGTGTTCTCTGTATTATTATATACATTTAGAAACTAAAGGCGGGTTGAAATATATAGACTTAGAAACTCTCCATTCTTTTACTGGAGTGGAGCTTCTCTATTTATGGGATATTAAAAATATCATTAAAAGGCAAAAGGAATCAAAAGGCAAAAAAGATCCTGGGAGTCCCTTGGTGGTACCAATGCTAATGAATTCAGCTACTGACTGAAAAGTTGGAAGTTTGAGTCAACCTTCTGCAAACTCAGAAAAAATACAAGTTGATCTGCTTCCCCTGCCATCCCCCTAAAATCACCCATCAAAACCACTATGGAGCACAGTTCAACGTTGACACACAGAGATCACCATGGGCTGCAATCAGCTCAGTGGCAACTACTGGGACCCTTACCGTGAAATCAAATTGGTCTTTAGATGGCAACATAAAATGGCACATCTTTGATGAATCCAACGTATAGTGGAATCTAATTACAATTAGATTTGGTAGCCTAATGAGGTAATAGTGATATGTGTAAGATAATTCAAAACTTCAATGGAGAATACTCATAGTCAGTAGACATGGGCTCTTGTCCGTTCTGCCATCAACTAACTCTGACCTTGGAAAGGTCACATCTCTGAGCCTCAGCTTCTTTCACTCTAAAGCAAAGGGTGAACTCTGAGGCTATTTAAGGTCCATTTCAACGCTACAGCGACCTGACTCCTTTCTATGTCTGACTTTGGTTAATATGTTTAACCTACTGTTTAACTATCTTAAACTATTGTTTAAAATGGAGTATATTTTTTTAGTTACAAAAGGAGTATATTTGTTATTTTAAAATATGTAGGCAGCTATCTTACTTAAAACTGACTGTCATCCAGTTGATTCTGACTCATAGTAACCCTATAGAACAGGGTACACCTGTCCTTGTGGGTTGCTGAGATTAACTCTCTAATGGAATTAGAAACCCCTGTTTCTCCTGTATACTTTCCAATAGAAATTACTCATTATCTTACCACACTAGGAATAACTGCTAACCCTCACAAAAGAAGATTATTTTCAATATCGTCATTTTATAAATACCTTTCATTTCAACATAATTAAAATGTCTGGCTATGTCATTAAATGCTCCTCTATAACACTGATTTTTGTTTTAAATGGGCAAGGAGACAAGGTAGTTATTTCAGATTCTCCCCAGGATTTTCTTTGCCCAAGCAACAAGTCCCATCCTTTCTCATCCACCACTGGGGGGATGCAGCCCCTTCCATTCAAAGATGGGGTCTCCATTAGCAGTAACTGCTATTTCCCGATGAGCGTTATTAGGGCAAAAACAAACCTAAGAGTATTTTTCTTCCAAAATCACTTTTCATGGCCACTTAATTGGAATGTGCTATCATTTATTAGCTTATTTGCATCTCTGGAGGATTAGCCTATTCTCACTCTTAGAAACATTGTCACGAACAACTACCTCTATCTCTATACTCATCTGCAGTGAAACCCTCGATACCTCTTCTTCATGCACTAGCAGTAAAAGCCAATACTTCGGAAGGGCTGTTAATGTACAAAGGCTCGGATTTTGTTTTCACTGGAATCCTATGTAACATGGAATGTGGCACTGGAAAGGAGAAAAAGAGTGCACCTCAGTTGGGAAATTTGGTTACTCACCAGCATCTTTAATCCAATTATCATAGAGACGCACGGTCCGTGAAGTAAGATCACTGAAGGCCATTTTCCACAGTTTACTGGCTCTTAGAATGAGTTCTTCAAGAGGACTGAAACAAAAAAAGAGAAAGATGCTTTTATGATCCACAAATGCAAATAACGCCAAGTTCTAGTAATACAATATTAAAAAATACTAAAACTTTAATAGGAATAACTGGCAAAACAACAAATTTTACTGACGGAAAATGCATTAGTAGGCCACATTACACCATGATGCCGTTGCAAATATTTCAGAAATTCCATCATTCTAGGGACACAATGTTCGTCAAAAAGACTGTAGTCCTAGATAGTCAATAGAAAAGGAATAATCATGTAGTAAGTAAGAACTTCCACACGCGCATCTTCCACTGACCATCACACAGATCAAAAATCGACTGCACCTACTATGAAGAGAACACCAGAAGCAGAAGGTAGAGAAGGTAAACAAAATGTCAAAGAAGCTAGTCTGACCTCAA